CCCCCCCCACACCAAACAAACAACCCCCCCCCCCCCCCAAAACATTCTCTATGGAAATTTTTAGATCGATCCTGTTCTACCACCTATACGATTTCAAAATAAATCGCCAATGCGTCTTCGATCATCATCAAGTTTGCAAGTGCTGCCGAATGTAAAAGATAATTCTATTCGATCATCACATTCATTTATGAATAAACCAATACCATCAAATAAACAATCAATAGCAATTCCAAGTTTAAGTTCAACAACATTATCGGATTTAACAGATAATTTTACATTTCTTACAAATTTATTTCGGTCTGGTCTTCATTCCGATATAACAATTCGTGATCAAGATCATCAATGGGATTTACATAAAAGCATACTTTCAGCACGATCCATTTATTTCAATCAGTATTTTTCAAATTCAAAACAATCGGTATTAGATTTATCCGATGAAAATAATACATTATCACCGATTATTCATGATAGAATGTTTCTTTTTCTTTATACTAATCAATATAAATTAGAAAAACTTCCTCGGTTATCTCTATTTGAAACAACTCGTTTATTATTCGAAGCATCTATTAAATTTGGCATTGAAACACTTACTCGTCATTGTTTACAAGATATGTGTAGTACAAATAATTTACATATAAATAATGCTGCCAACCTTCTAATTGCTACTGATCAAGCCACGCATGGCCTGTATGAAAAATATCATTCAAATGATTACGTAATGCAAATAAAAAATGTAAAACAAACAATTTTACGTTTTATTCAATTAAATTCGCGTGAAGTTCTGCTTTCATCACAATGGAAGCTTTTAGAAAAACATTTTCCGTTTCTTGTTCATGATGTCCTAGAATTTGTTGTTTTTGAAAAAATATAATAATAAAATCGTTTATTAATGCTTGAAAAAAGTTTTTATTTGTTCATATATTTAGATCAACATAAAATCATATTTTAAACATAAAGTGTCGCTCTTTTTAGTTCCATGTGGTGATGATCACCATCGCCGTTATTTAATTTTTGATCGCTTATTTGCTTCAATGATGATTCTCGAATCGATCGACAACAATCAATACACGGTTCAAATAGAAGAGTAATAAGACGAATGAATGGTTCAAAGGTTTTAGCAAAAAGATCACTTGTATTCCATAGAAGAATGCCAATTGGTAAACTAAAATAAATAAATCGGAATTTCAAAAAAAGAAGACTTTGTCGTTGAATAAATGACTAAAACATACATAAAAGCATTGAAAAGACCTGAATAGAATGGTTTAATTAAAGTATCAGACATAATAATTGGTATACGTATCAGAATAGGTTTAACTAAACCGTCAAGAACAGTATGAATGATTTCAATAGGTATTGTAACACAAATTGCTAATAGAATACGTAAATACCAAAAGATGCTTTGAACAAAATAAGAAGTATTTTGAAGAAGTCTATTGATGTAAACAGAAAATCAAGAGAGACTTCATATTTATTGTTGTGTTTGTTATAAAACATACTTATCAAGTTGACTAATTTTTTCATCATTGAATGGTTCATTTGTCCAATAGTATTCTTTTCGAAGAGGCTCAAATATATATGATGGATGATGAGTTTCAAAAAAATTTACTAATAATTCTGTATATTTGGTTTTAATCTTTTGTTCAGATTGATTAAGTGATAGTTCAGGTATTGGTGGAACATAATAATTGATATTTCTGTTATTTGATTGAGGTTCAAGAACAATGCTATTTGGATCTAAAATAAGAAAGCATTGGCCGCTACGATCTCTTGCGACACTTGAGATGGAAATTTCCTTATGTAGAGAGCTATCTTCTCAACTGTTTAAGTTATCAATCGTATGAGCTAGTCAAAAACAGTACTAGAAATAAAGATTTTCTTTTCAGCTTACAAAGTATTTTATTATTATCCATTGCTTTTCTTGATCGTCGTGTATTTGAGATTGAATTATTTACTAGATTCGATGAATGAATATGTGGTGTTGGAATCGTATTGGATTCCGCTCGTTCATTGTGACGTCGAATAGACGATGTTGTTGTTGTAGTCATCGAAGTAATCGATTGATCATCAGTTTCATCAAAACTATTACTTATTGGTGTTGAAGCCGTTGTATATGATGAATATATGTTAGTTCTCTTTTGAATCGTCTTTTAATTAGCGTAAAAAGCGCACAACACAATTGAGCATGTCTTATTAACGCATATAAGACGGGATCATAGCGGCGGCGCCAGGAATGCATACTAGGGTGGGCTCGAGCTACCCTAGTTTTGAAGAGCGAAAAACATTAATGAAAAAATTGTCGAATTTTTGGATTAGTCAAAGCTGTTTCTTGTTCTATGTTAAATAATTCGCATGAATGTATAGAAGTCTTGCCTATTTACTTTAAAAATATCTAATAAGATAACTTAACATAATAAAATCCTGATGTTCTTATGATTTCGTGCAAATTTATCTACAACTTGCTCATAATCTATAACAATGTCACGTTCAACAGTCAATACTGTCAAATCGCTTAAGCGTTTGTCCGACATAGAATTGCGAAGATAATTTTTTATTATCTTCATCTTTGAGAACGATCTTTCTGAAGTATCTTGTGAAATCGGCATTGCTATAGAACTTTTAATCATTCTTAGTGTTTGTTGAAATGCAGTTGAGAATGGAATTAACTCGTTTAAAAATTGAATAACATCATTGATGGTTGTAGACATGAACATAGATTTGATAACAATGAATTCATTTTTTAAAGCACTTGAATCAATATCAATATGACGACTAAATGCATTAACGTCATCAATATTCAAAACAACTTTACTCTCTGGATAAACTGTAGAAATACTTTTCATTAAAGATAAAGTTTTTGATGAAAACCTTTCATTCAGTTCTACTAACGTAAGATACAATTAATGCAAGGAAAATAAATTTGATTCATAAAATCTGCCGAGGTAGACAATTTTTCATGTTGCTCAAGTGTTGAATTAATAAAACAATCATTAAAATGAGCTAGAATTTTTGCTTTACGATATATTTCATATTGCTGTATCAAGTCAATTCCATTTATATCACAAAATTGTTTTGCTTTATTATAAATTTGATTGAATGAGTTTTCATTACGAAGATTGGTTATTTGCTGAATAATAGATACTACAAGATATTCACCACGTACATAATCTAAATTTAGATCTTGTGAAAGAAAAACAATAAGAGCTTTTCAGATCTAGAATAACAACAAAAGATCTTAATTTTCAAATGATCACTCAAAACTTTTATTATACCAAATAATTGATAAAGAATAAATAAAATAATGATAAATATTAACTTTTTCACATGCATTAAAAGTCCGACTGTATTAATTGGTCGCGTGCTACTACTTTCTTCACCAATATCAACCAGTGCTTTATGATGTAGGGTAATTGTTTACAATAGAATCGATAGCTTGACACCAGGAGTCCCACCCGGTCTCCACCCATAATTTAAGTGTCGAAAACTGAACTAAGCAATGGGGGAAAGGGTGTGGGTGGGTGTCCAAGACGAACAATCCGATAGGCGGATCCTGTCGGATCCTAGCGGAAAATTATCGGGTTTTATCGGATCCGATGGGAATTCGTCGGAAGTTGTCGGATGTTTGAAAATGCCTGAATGAACCGGACCCTGTCGGAATCCAATACCAAGGATTCCGACTACTTCCGACGCATTCCCATCGGATCCGATGGGGTGAGTTCGACCTGGGTGGTATGGGTGTACCGATATTGACGGCGCGCTTCGCTAATTTCCCTTCCTTCTCTGTCTGTTCTGTTTCCATTGTTCTATTATAGTATGTTCATCTCTCTCTCATGTACATACGTGTGTTATGTGTGAAGCTGTTACATTCTGGATATGTGAGCAAGCGAATAAACATTATTGCTGAGAGTGGCTGTAAGCTACTACACCTCTATCCAGTTTGTCTTAATACATCAACTAGTAGGGGCCATATTTATCATTACACCGGTCAGATTAACGATAAAAACAATGATGAATTTATTTGTAGTTTAACATTACCATATGTTCCTTGTATGGAAGTCGTTAAACGGCTTGTCCACGTAACGCGCTACTTCAGTGATGAGGTGTTGATTTCGATATTCGAAATGAACCTTTATGCCACGTTGTAGAGCATACACGAAAGTGTAAGAAAGTGTATTTTATTAATCAAAAAATTATCGTTGTTAGTTTTTAAAAATGAATGTATGATGTGTTCATAACTGCATGGTCAATTGCAGTTTTTTTACTGTTGCTCTGCGATCAATGGTGCACATTGATGTTTTACTTCCAGGGTTCAATATCAAAAGTTTTGTGAGCTATATAGAGCAGCCTTTCTTTTGATTAAAGAATAAATTTAAATATTTTCTTCTGCATGGAAAAATTCTCAAAATAAAACTTCATCAATTTTACCGTCACAGCGTTACGAAATAGATCTTATTTTCAAATTTGAACTAGTATCTTACAGAATATAATAAAACTAACTAGTGGACCATTGCTAACTTTTTATGGTGATTCTGACACACTCCTTTTTATTTAAAAAATATTTTCTTTTGGGGTAGATAAACGTAACGTTGTGACACAAACTTCATATTTTGTGCTATTTTTACTTTAAATAATTGAGAACTAATTTCAATATTATGATCGACAAATAGTGAATTTGTGAATTTAAAGTTGTTCTTGATCTTTCTGTATTTGTCTAGCGGTGAGTATCTCGAAAATTTCTAGTTTTTGTTGGTTTTACGATGTTTTTTCTATGATTAATTTTAATGTTACTGATCGGTATGTATTCGAGATCAGCATGAAATTTGCCATTGAACTACAGGTGTTTATACTGAGAAAAATAAACATTTTTTTATCTCTTGAACACGAGGAGTGTATAAATTTGTCGTGTTGTTATCAGTCGAAATAAGCAGTCGTTATTTTCTTTCCTGCCGTTATTTTCTTTTCTCCGTTCATCATATATAACTAGGCGAGAAAGAAAAAGAAGAGTCATTCCCATCTATACGATAATAAACAGTTGCACAGAAAAACTAAG